GCGTGACGCTGCGCTGGTAGACAGTCCACGCTTCACATCCGTAGAGCAATGTCGTGAGGACTGCTGCGCTATAGACCTTGATCTTCGTTTCTCTCCTGATACCTCTCCTGTCCCAAACAGTGCTGCGAAGCCTGCCAAATATGGCACTAGCTTTTGCGAGTCTGCCATTCATTTCGTCACCCATGACGACAGATCTAGAGAGAGTACTGCCCATGTAAGTAAATTTTAATTTATCCACCGCGTTGAGACGCTGTCCACTGATGATAATGTTGGGTTCAACGGAGGGCTTACTGGGAGCTGGCTGATACATCACCCTAGTCTTCTTTGTGTTTTACGCACTGGCTTCTATTGTGAGAAATTAATCTCTTGTTTTAAGTAATGGCTAGTTCACACAGTGCACAACAAAGGACAGTACCATAGAGAAATACAATAATAAAGTTACAACACGCAGAAACAGTTGCCAATTACAATTAGTAAGATTTAATTTAGTAATAATACAATTACAAAACAAAAGAAATATAATTACAAATCATCAACTTACAGTATGGTAGATCTTGTACCGGTACACAATTAGTACAATGTGCCAATTAATAATGATGAAATGATTAATGAGAATAAACACATATGAGCACACAAATAATAATGCAATTGTCTCATAAAGTTAATAGTATCTATCTGAATCTCCGTGAGAATCACAATCTCAATCTCCGAAACCCTTTATTTATATTGTGGGTCTACCGACGCGCCCAGAAACGCCTATACGTTTCTAATACAATCGCGAACATTCGAAAAAACACCACTGAGAACAAATTAATTAATTTTAGTTGCTGTCGGCAATAAACACGGCAGATCAAAAGACTAAGCCACGCCCATATATGAACGTATCGTCTCATGTTGGGTCAACCAGAGTGCACGCACGAGGAAAGTGTTGTAAGCAAGCTCTACATAACAGTGTTGATTGTGAGGCCAAAGTTATTGCAGGCCTCAGAGAAGATATCAAGGCTGGGTTGCATGACGGCTTCTGAGGCAGCGTTGAGGGCACAATCGTCCGCAAACAGAAGCTCGTTGATGGTGTTATGTTTGACCTTGGTTTTAGCTTGAAGGTTAAATACTGATCCATCAGTGCGAAACCGTATTGGCAAGCCCGTGGTGGAGGCCTTGAACTATATATATTATAAGACTGAGCTGCTCCCCATCGCGACCGCTCAGAAGCAAAAATCTGCAAATAACACTACATCCATTACTCTCTCAGGTGTGCGTATTGAGTTAGCTGGGTGTCTACCTAGATGGAAGACTAACTTTTGAAAGTCATATTAACATGCTATGCAAGGCGATTTTTCTAGAGCTGCGCAGGATTAGTCACATCAGGCCCTTCCTAACAATTGATGCAACAAAGAGGCTGATGTCTGCATTTGTGCTATCACGCATGGACTATTGCAATGCTCTTATGGTGGGTCTTCCAGCTACGCTCCTGGATAAAATTCAAATAGCACAGAATAATGCGGCTCGCATTGTTCTCCGCAAACGCAAGTTTGACCATGCAAAAACACTTCTGAGAGAGCTGCACTGGCTGCCAGTGCGTGCTCGCATGGAGTACAAAATCGCAACTTTGTGCTACCGCTGCTTACATGACCTGGCACCGTCCTATCTGAAAGAGCTGCTGACGCCTTATGTACCCACTAGAGAGCTCCGCTCATCCGATAGTGGCAAACTCTCGACACCACGTGTTTGCCTTGAGACTTACGGAAAGCGCACTTTCGCATTTGCTGGTCCAACAATTTGGAACGCCCTTCCTGTCGATCTCAGAAACAACCAGACACTGGAGTCCTTTAAAACCGATCTAAAGACACATCTATTTCGCAAACACCTTCTGGGATGATTGTCAACATTATTTTCCAGTTAATGCATAATGGCTGTGTTGCTTATGGTTGAAATGGCTAGAAAGACTTTGCCATTGTATGCTTGTACTTAGTTTTTGTAGTGTTGCGTTTGTTTTAAATGTGGTAAACTATAGATTTGTTTTTTGTTGACTTTGTACCGCGCTTCGAGCCTTTGGGGATGAAGCGTGTTTTTGAAATGAACTTTATTATTATTATTAGTATACATAGTGTCTATTCGGACCCGGCTACTATAAGTGAGAGGTTGAGATTTTTAAAAAAAAAATGTTTAAAATATTATTGTTGGGCTTCGTAAGATAAAATTTGGTATCGAATGAAAGATAATTGAATGGACTCTATGTTTGCAAACTTAATTCTTCAGTTTAACTAAAATAAACTACCACAAATGACATCCGAATAGCACCGAGTCAAAATGGACCCGGACACGCATCGCCGCTTTTCGGACCCGAGTTTTATTTCGGGCCGGCGGCTCTTACTTAGTTTTTTTTTCTTATATGAGCCATAGAAATATAAGTTCAAACAGAGCTACTGCATGAGTGGATCAATCAAGTGGCAGCTGTGTGTGGCCTGCTCACATGGGCAGCTGTGTGTGGCCTGCTCACATGGGCAGCTGTGTGTGGCCTGCTCACATGGACAGCTGTGTGTGGCCTGCTCACATGGACAGCTGTGTGTGGCCTGCTCACATGGGCAGCTGTGTGTGGCCTGCTCACATGGACAGCTGTGTGTGGCCTGCTCACATGGGCAGCTGTGTGTGGCCTGCTCA